TCCTTGCTGCGTATGTTTGTCTATATTGGGACTGTTGCCTTACTTCTCCCAAAAGTATTATGCAACAAATGAGCCTCGATTCATTGGATCCGTTATTAATTATTAATTATTATAAACCTAATGGAAACCAATGCAATTGATTTTAGTTCAAAAGCTATTAGATCTGTCCTATGTAAAGGCAACTGTATCTAATTGTGGGATTCTACATTCAATTACGAACTTCCGGTATTTGTTAACGAATTATACTTGGTTTTACGACCCTGCGAAATGCTGCGAAATAGCCAATTAGTGATGGGATAAAACGCTATTATCAATAATAGCAATTGCGTTGAAGCTATCAATTGTATGTCCAGTATAAACTATATACTACATTTTTGCCCGTCGTTCATTGATGAATAAAATATTTCGTATAGACAGTCGCTTAAATGGTATGAATGGGGCAACGGAGTTAAACACCAAACATGAATCTCCTTAAATCTAGCAGAGCATCCCTTTTTACGGGCATCGTTGATACCTCTAATGCTCATTCAAATACGATGCTTCATTAAGCTTGTAAAGGCAAGTAAAAGAGCAAAATGGCAAAAGCAAAGCCATCTTGTCACAGCTCATTGGCCAATCGAACGCAGTGGCCAATTATCCTGACTGGATGATCGGGCTTTACTGGACCATACCTGTAAGTCAGTAAACCTCCATTAGCTTTTTACACTAACGCATACATGTTGGTGGGAAGTGCCATTGTATCACTTCGACAGATCGACATGAAGGAGAAATTGTTTATATAGGACAGCTGGTTAAATGCCGCGGCAATGACTAAATCAATAGTTAATAGTACATCGGACTTTACCCATTTTCCCTGCTTATCTCACTCCACTTGATAAAATTATATAGTTATCCCTAACGACACCAAAATATGAATACGTTTTTGATTGATTCAAAGTAATCATACAGTCTGAAGACATTCAAATCTTCTGCATTGATCAATGGTACATATATTTTCCTTTTCTGCGTGCGAAATTAAGTTGGATAGTTCTTCTAAGTAGAATGCACATTTTTTTTTCATTTGGACCGTAAATATTTTGATTTACGCAAAAATCCAGTCAGTTTTTGTTCCGATTTTTGCAGGCTATTTTAAATACACATTTCACATATACTCAAACAATGTCAATTAACTTGCCGTTATTCTACAAATGTGCATTTTTATTGAGGAAAATAACAATTCAATTCACACAAACTGGCCATTAGCCATTCGGTTCAAAGCAAAAAGTTAGAGCCTCCATAGCGCTTTGTCACAATTGGTCTCCATAGTTTTTTTCTCTTCAAACGTATATCTGGGCTCATATATATGGAAATCCTAATTATACAGGGTTATCCATTTTATGCTTGGGAAAGTAAAGTAAAAAAAACAAACACAAAATATTCCGATTTTGGAATTTTAATTCAATATAAATATTAAACCTTGCCATTAGACGTGAAAAACAATATCATCTAAATGTCATCCACGGGACCTCCTACAGGCCTCAATACTTTTGAGGTAATTTTGAATTAGTTTTTGCAAAGAAAATTCGGTTTGAAAAATCATCATCAACGGCTTGTTGTTCAATCACCCAATTTGCGTATGTTCTGCGTTACCCATGGTCTTGAAGCTTAAGTCCGTGAGTCAGTTGGACTTTGTACGGATGGAGCTTCAAATTATATTGCAAAATTCGCCCGAATGAGCAGTAAGACAAGCCCAATTGTTGAGCACGTCGGGTAATCGACGAATTTGGGTCTTCCTCCACACTTTGAGCAACAACAGCGATATTTTCAGCAGAACGAACGTTGCGCTGATACACAGGCCTTACAATATCAGTCACCGATCCAGTCTCTTCAAATTTTTCCACTGTGTTTGAAATTGTATGCTCTGTGGGTCGATTATGTCGACAGTCGTCTGCTCGTAAAGTCCTAAACGTTGATACAGCAGAATCGCCATTTTTATAGTAACATTTAATAATTTTTCCGCGTTCTTCGACAGTTAAGCGATCCATATTCCAAAATTGCAAACCTTCAACTAAAACAAAAACGCTTCCGATGACGCTTATCTTTGACAGATATCAAATAGCAAGGTTTTACTCTCCCACCTCAAATTGGAAAGCCCGTTATGTTGCTTGCGATTAAACACGGTTTCTGCATTAGCTAGATGTAGCTTCGTACATATTTTTAACATTACTATGGCAATTTTGCAAAATTTTTCTAAATTAATCCTAAAATATAAATTTTATCTTAAATCTCTTATAATGTGCTGATGTTTTTGCAAGCTAACGATACGGGTAATATTTGGAAGAAGTGTCACCGTGCTTCGAAATTCCTGTATGAACTTTGCAAACGATATATACTTTCTTTAAACCGTTCAAATTAGCAGGCAGTTTCGTGCCTGTTGATTCGTAGTTAAAATCAGCAGAATATATGTAAAGTTGAGTCCTGACTTGGAAAAGCTCATAAGTTCATAGCAGAGTCTGTTGTAGTCAGACAGTTACAATGTTCAAAAGAAATAATATAACCAAATGCTGTTTGAAAAGGCTCCGTTATTCCCTCGGGAATAAAAAGACTTAAAATTATTTCAAAAATTACTTCAAATACGTTTGCCATGAGTAATTCTATTGCTTGTTCGGTTTCTGTACACTCAAATGCATATCCGAATATCAGGGTAAGTTATTCATGCCCTAGATAATTACACTGTGCTTTTTCATAAATCAAATGAGTCCAAAAATGACTCTAAATCATTACGTTCATTTGTTTGTAATGACAGACGGAAATAATTATGACGCAGAATAATTGGACCTTCGTTTGTTTATTGTAAGGTAATTTACTGAAGTTTGTAAAAAGTTCAATTAATTTGGAATAATGAGTAATTAGTACTCATATCAGGATGTACGCTGTAGGAGAATTCATCGTTCTTCCCTATCATCAGTAAAACAAACAACACAACAAAAACATTTTTTGCTAAATGTAAACTGGAAAATTAATTATATGCCTTGTGTTTCTTGTTGAAGTTGATATTTATAAAACTTTACTTTTCAACGGATATATTTGTACTCCAATAAGTAGACTTTTGCTTGGGTAGAAAATCTTATTTTTGATTAAAAATGCAGCAAGCATTATTTTTATGCACCTTCATGTTGAAATCGGCTGAATAAAATAGATTCAAACAAATTTACGTGTCGGTTGACAAATATAATGTAAATGAGACCATATTTGATTAATGTTACCAATTTTCAGAAAATGGTCCTTAGTTAATTAGGTCGAAATTGGTTTCGGTACGGAATGTTCATAAAGAGGCAATGTTGTGTCTAATTCCGATAAATTAACATTAAAATGCCACGAAACCTAAACTGCTAAAGGAAAAACGTATGTAATAAACAGACTTTCAGCAAAGTAAAGAACTATGAAACAGCATGTATAGAGGAAGCCAATGTATGTTTCAGATAAATTGTCCTTTCGTAACTTGATATAGTAGTTTGCTACGGATAAAAATAACTGCAAGTTATATGGTCTCTAGAGTTTTCTAACTATTGATTTTTAATCGCTTACTATATGGCAGATTATTCTCGGCACCCAATAACAATTTACACGATTGCAATAAGCTTTATAGCGAAAGACAATTAAATAGAACGCTATAAGGAATATTTGACAATTTAAAGCCCTAGAAGCAGAAGTGTTCAAAAGGGGTCTGATGAGCAAACTGGGTTACAAGTTGACACATACACATTAAAAAGGGGAGGCCAAAAATTAATTATAATATAATTTATCATCAAAATTTATAAGTTTATACGTGAATGAGGAGACAGGCAAAGCGCGACAACGCACGTCTATTATTTTAGCTGTTCTGAGTATAATATATCCACACGCAGCAGTTAAGTGATAAATACAAATATGAAATATAGATCTGCCAACCTAAATATTAATGGGGCAGATGTGAACTTGCACCCTTAAGATTTATCAATTGAATACTAGCGCTGCCAAAACAGATATGTTCCGATAAATAATTGTCCCGATTTGACCCATTAGCTTCCCGTTTCAAAAGCCAAATGACAATTTAAATTTTTTGCTTTAACGTTGAATATTTTGACTAGTTTATTTGCAAATTGCGAATTGAAACGCAATAATATATCAACGGCATGTAAATGTGCAATCGGCGTGACAACATTGTTATCTCAAATTTTTCCCGATTCGCTATGATCTTTCGTATATCTATGAAATGCTGTTGTATATGCTTTCATCATAAAGCAAGCATATTCACATGAACAAAGAAAACAGAAAATTTAATTTTAGGGGTTTGTGGAAAACATTTAAAATTGACAACGCAAGGAAAGGCGACTTAACAAGTCTAAAACCATGCAATGTAGATAAGTAGCAGTGGACCAAGTAATCAGGTAACACACATTTGTTTCTAGCTGAAGATCAGTCTTAAGATAATTTTCAAAATTGTGAAATTGATGAATGATCACAAGAAAACTTTGCAACAAACTCCAAGTAAACAGGACTATGACAAAGTGTGTCTTACATGTTAGCATTTGCACATTACAAGAGTTGCTTTCAACCATAAAGTTCCTGACGAGTCCCAAACTATTCTTAATACATTTATGAAGTACCTAAGAAAGTTCTTGTGTATCGGCCCCATTTTGTTTTGTCAAACTAGCATTGAAAGAGAAAAGTGCCGCGAGGATATACATTGCGTCTAGTAATCATTTCTGGCGATGTGGGTATTTCAGGCTCTATATATCCAAGTGTGGTAACTGCTCACTCCGTTCTGCTTCTAAAGCTGCTTGCATAATTAACCGTGTAGACCTGGCTTACATATTTAAAAATATCTGGCATGCTATCCCTGAACCGTCTGATAGTATATTGTTTCGGTTCCGGAAATTTATAGCCTTATCTATGATGAAAAGGAACTCTGGGTTTGTAGAATTGTAGATTTTACTTACCCGTTGCTTAGCTTAAGAGAAATGCTCGGCTATATTTACCTGGAAGTTCGACTCCTGAAAATAAAAAAAAACTTTTAAGATGTTACATCAATTGAAAATTTTAAATATTTTGAAAATAAACATGGTAAACACACATTACTGCCATCAAACTTTAAGTAGTCAAATTTAGTTTAATTGCCCACCTTGACTGCATTTTAATATTCAATAATATGTTTTTCAGCCTTCATTAATAATTATTAGAATTCGGTTGAGCTTTTGGAGCACTCGAAATGAGCCGGTTACTACAACAAAACCCCTCTCTATAGGAAATATAATTATGATTGATGCGTGCTAGAATTGTTTCCAAATATATGCGCAATTAGAGCGTTAATTTATTTGCAACGACTACAATTTCCTACCTATCTAATTCACATTTATCTAATTGCTTCCGTGACTTTTTAATTGTGATAACCCTAACTTAGGTCTCATTTATAAATTTAAAAATTGCTCGGTATTCATTCCCAAAAGAATTCAAATTGATTACAACAGTTCGCAATCAAATAACCTATGATAACGGAGCGTGATGGAAAACGGAAATTCTCGCAAGTTTTAGATAATACGTTCAATTAAAAGCTGATAAAACGATAAAAATTGTAAATTGCCAGTGGAACATTCATGTATCGCAAAAAGGTTTTTTCCTAAAGGAATTTAATATCGGGATGAAACAGAATTGAAAAATAATCAATTGAAGTTTCATATTTTAAAAACCATCGTTGGCAATTGCTTTATTTGAATATTAACTTTAACGTATAATCTCTCAATTCTTTCACTAACACAGGAGAATATCGTCGGATTGTTTTTCTAAAAATGAACAATGACTTTGGGTAGTCATAATTTGAAGAAACAAGTATTATTTTACTAGGATATTTCTCTCAACTGTAAAACTTAATAGACTAGCGAGTTTTTCACAGATATTTTCCTGTAATTTGAAATAACCGCGTTTCACGAGAGGGCGTGATAAAGTATTTGTTCGAAGGATTCGCTTAAATACATTTCAATATTTTAATGATGGAAATCAAGCTGAAACACGTGCATTGCTTCTTTAATTTCTGTAACCAAATTTCGTATTTAAAGGTTATTAATACTAAACACATTTCGATATTAGCAACTGAAGGGCAATGGAACTACCAAATGTTATTCGATCAACTCCACCTGATATATTCGTCATTTCTTGACAAGTTGAAGCAAAAAAATAACAGGGCGCTTGCTTTTAGCTTTGGGTGTAAGGGGGAAAAGTACCATATAAGAAATGAAGATTTAATTATTATAAGTTAACTATTAAATTAATATTTATTAGACTATGAAGGCTTTCACGGCCGGTCAGATTACATTTGGAAATGTTTTCCGGGCTTTGAAGCCGTGGTCTATCGGAATTTCTTCCTAACGTTTCGTCCACAACTGCGGTGAACATTTTCAAAGGCGATGAGGCAGTGGGCGAAGTGATCTCCCGTGCTTTCCGACTAAGAATGATACTTTCAGTGGAACAGCGAATTCTTTGAGCAGACGGATGGAGTAGCAATGGGCAGCCCTCTTAGTCCAGTGATAGCCAACTATTTTATGGAAAA